CCCCCTCCCCACAGTCCTCCCCCTCCTTTGTCCTCGTCTCCCCTCTTTTCTAATTAACTCCCATTAAGGCTGCTGCCAATCAGAGGAAAACATCAGACATCTGTCTTGAGGAGTATTAAAGCTGTGAAAGGAGCCAGGCAGGAGGAACATGACTGAAGAGAAGACATGTTTACAAGCAGGGCTGGTGACGTGGGTTTTTTTTTTTTTGGTTTTTTTTACAAACAACCAGCTCCCACTTTCATCTTATAACAGTCCAAATACCTTGATGATATTAACATGACACATCTTTCATCCCATGTCAGGTTCAGCTCATTTACATATAATTCTAGTACAGTAACTCTACTTGAGCATATTCTAGTAATCTTATTTAACAGCATCGTTTTTTGAAAAGAAAGGGAAGCAGGAAAAGAATATTTTCCCTCTGAAATGTGCTGTAAGATGACGACAGCTCAGCTCCTCAACTGTGGAAAGGCAAAAGGAGAGCGACACTTTGGCTGCACTCTACCCCACCCATTAACTACTGGAAAACAGAACTCTCCACTGGTGTGAAAGTGTGAACGTGTGAAAAGTGATTCCTGAAAATAAGCTGCTACGCAAACTGTCACTCACGTTGGTGGTTTTCTTGTAGTAGTCGATCTGGTGGACTCCTCTGGCCAGGCCAAAGTCAGCGATCTTCATCACGTTGTCCTCCGTCACCAGAACGTTCCTGGCTGCCAGATCTCTGTGGATGCACTGTGGGGAGAGAAGAAGAAGAGGGAGGATTGAAGAAACCTGACAAAAACCTGAAATGAGCTTTAGGCCAACTGCTGCGTCTCCAGATTAGAAGATTAGCATTAAGTTGAAATGGTCTTGGATAATGGGCTCAGAGATTTAATTGGGAAAATGGGCTGAATACGTTGTTTTTTTGTTCAGTATGTATTTTGTTTTTTCTCTTTTTTTTGTGTTGTATCCGCTCTCCCTTTGGCAAATTTACAGTTCTGACCAATCAAGAAGCTTGAACTAAACTTTATTATCTTTATTATCTTTTGAATTGAGACTTGTGACATGACATGTTTCTGTCTGATCCAGGCTTTGGTTTGTAAAAACACAAAGCTAGGGAGGGTAGAGATGATTCACTGCAGATTTTCTCCAAAAAATGAAAAGACTCAGGAGTCTAAAGTCAACACACAGTGCCTCATTTTAGTGAACGCAACAAAATTAAAATGTCTTTATATAGAAACCCGGGAGTTTGAAGAAAAAACAACCCTTTGGGAGGAAAAAAAGAAAGGCCCTGTTTGCCCACATTGAATGGATGTCATTAAGTTTATTTTGGTTTTCATTCGAAATAGACATGGGATTTGTGGGGACGTGCGAAATGAACCACTCTTGGTTTGTGGGTCTCCCCATAATGGAGGGTTAGTTTCAGGCTCCTGCATTCTTAGGAGGCCGTAGAGCCAGAAACCTGATGCCTACACCCAAACGACGGCTCGGCTGCCTGTTTGCTAACAGATTTATGGCAGCGCTAAAAAGGACAAAGCCCGGCGACAGAGGGACGGACAGATGGATGGAGAAGAGTAAACAGGGCTGAAGCTGCGGCAGATTTCTGTTCAGGAATGCCTGTCTGAGACACCGGCTGGCAGACAAAGAGACGTGTTGATAAGAAGCACACAGACAGAGAGCATGCAGGGAAAATGAAAGGAATTGAAACATGGGGGGTGGGAATGGGAAGAAAAGAAAGAAAGGGACAGACAAGAGAGACGGGGGAAAGGAAAGACCTGGAGCTGCCATCCAAAACTGTCTGAGCCACACTCATCCATCTGAAGGCCAAGTGCCCAAATACAAAAACACTGAATTACACAAAGGAACTCAATCCTAATCACACTTCCCTTCAAGTCAAAAGCAGACTTCTGATATTACAGCCCTTTATACAGTTTAGAAGTCAACAAATGTGGAGCATGTTACTAGATTTCGTGGCTGTATTTCCTGCCCAGAGACATGGCTACAATTAACTGTAATGAGGACCCATATGTAAACATTGAAGCTTGCAATGTAAAAGTTCCTTAAGAGCACAAATCTTCCATCTGGCTTGCACCAAAACAATTACAATTTGTATATATTAGAAATCTCAAGTTATACTGGATCAGTACAAAACATATGTGTGGAGCTGTGCGTGCATGCAACAAGTGAAAGCAACAGTGCTGTAGAATAAACTGAACACGGATCTATAAAATGTCAAGTTACCACAACCCAAAGTCTTGTTTTGTCTAATCCACAGTATGAAATACAAAGATATTCCATTTACAATGATATAAACAGAGAAAAAGCAGTAAATTCCCACCTTCAAGAAGCCAGAATAAAAGAATTTTGGGCCTTTTGACTCGATAAACTGCTTTAACAATTAACAATTAATCAACTTTCTCTCATTTGACTGATCTATTTATCAAATCGTTTCAGCATAAACCTGACAAGTGAAAAGGAACTCATTAGGTACAACATAGCAACACAAAAATAAAAAAGCTTAACTACACCACCAAGAAATTCAGTGATATACACACTGTTACTACAAGTTCTGAACACTCATTAAAGTGAACGTACCCTTTTAGAGGCCAGGTACTCCATCCCTCTGGCCACCTGGTAGGCACAGGACAGCAGGTCTTTGAAGGTGAGCTGCTCCTCAGGCACCTTGGTCACATCAAAGGTGTAGTCCATGCCTGGGGGTCGCCGGGCCCGCAGGTACTCCCTCAGACTGCCCTTGGAGGCGTACTCCACCAGCACATACAGAGGGCCTGAGGGGGGAAACACAAGCAGCGTGTTGTTACTATTGGTCGGTTTAGCCTGGTGGCCACCAAAGCTGAAACAATGCGGCTTGGGAGGAAGGCAACGGTGCTGTCCTTTCTTCGTTGACCAATCACAAGCCGAAAGATAGCCGGCGCAACAATCACATTTAAATGAAAGGTATGAAGCTCACCATCCTGCGTGCAGACTCCCAGCAGGTTGATGATGTTCTTGTGTTTGTCCATCACCTTCATCAGCTCCATCTCCGAGATGAGATCTGCCAGATCTTTGTCTGTTGCATCATCTGGAGGGAAAAATACCTCTTATTTAGACAGGCATGCCTTTGTCACAGACAGCAGACTTCAGCTAATCCCTTGGGGTATTTTTGTGTCTGTATCATTTCTTTCCTACCTTTGAGCATCTTAACCGCCACAGTGGTGGCCTGGTCTGGGCAGTCCTTGTTGATGCCGTAAGCCTCAGCTCTAACCACCTGACCAAAGCAGCCTTCTCCGAGAGGTTTGCCCAATGTTAAACTAGAGAGAGAAAGAGAGAGAGAGAGTCAGTGAAAATAAGTATGTCCAAATGAAAACTGTACAAATCCATAATTTTGGGCTCTGGTTTCTTAAAACACGGGTTGGGCAGAGCCAAAAATGGGCTGCGGACTTGTTTCTTTTTAGGTCCCCACATGATGCGAGAGCTAGAAATGTTTAAAGGAGTCTGGATCCCAGCAGCCAAACTAAACTTAGTGAAGAAATACTCTCTTTGCAAGGGGCAGAGCTTTTTATGTAAACGCAACATTTCAAAACAGTTCTCTTTCATAATGAATTCAAATGTGATGACCCAAGTGATTCTACATGACAGATAACTTACTTCTCTCTGGGGAACTCCCAGTCCGGGTCATAGGGCAACTCAAACTCCATGACTCCAGCCAGCATAGGAGAGCAGCTGGACGAAAGGCGAGCCACCCTCATCAGAGACGCACTGGACTTCCCTGACGAGTTGGACTCGACTGAGTACTGATGGAAGAAATGCAGAAAAGGACAATTTAGTCAAGCAACCAGGAACAAACGGGAGGGTTTTAAAAGTGTAAATCAGATGTGTCCGGACGATGCTTTTGTAGGAACTTTCAAGCGTACACGGACCATATGTCGTAGCCGGCCATATAACAAAGCATCTTGTTAGACTGAAGCTCCCATGATACATTAGTGCCCTGTACCTGTCTGCGAAGAGGAAACTTGGAGAGCTTCTGGACAGGAAGAGCGTCAAACGGCTCCCTTCTGGGGTGGACCTGCATTCGGCACAACACCACGATGACGATGGCCATGATCAGAGCCAGGAAACCACAGGCGTAGATGATGATGTCGGTGTACTTGGTCTCCATGGTGTCCATAGCATCTGCTGCTTCCTCCTCTGTAAAGAGGAAAGTGATGAATTAAAACTACTTCCAGATATTAATGTTCAAAGTTAGCTTTTTTTTTTGTTGAAGAATTAAAGTCTTCAGTATCATTCATCCTTTACCTGAGAGGACGGTCAGCCAAGCGGACTGGTGGGCAAAACCTATTGAATTTCCAGCCAGGCAGGTGTACTCTCCTGCATCCTCCATGGTAACTTTGGACAGGTAGAGCACCTCCACCTCTGACATGTTCAGACTGCCAGTCTGCACAACAGAGTAGAAATTATATAACAATTACACATTTCAGAGAACTCTCTTCCAGGATCCACAGAATGTGTTTGTGCTTGTCTAGATCCTCTGATTAAAACACCTGCTGTCTGACACCCACCTTGAGGACCTGTACGTAAGGCGTCCCATCAGGACCGTAGCGGCTGCCGTTTCTTTCGATGTGTTTCAGCCACTGAATGTGAGGCTGGGCGTCGCTGTAGACCTTACAGTGGAACTGGACGTCACTGCCCACCACTGCTGTAGTGTTGGCTGGTAGGCCGGCCTGCAGGATTGGCCTGTGGGGGGAGCGCTCTGTATGGGGAAGAAATCAGAGAGGACATGAGTCAAGTGAGCAGAGAAATTTGAAAAATCTCAATAGGCTCCTGAGAAACCAGTGAGAGCTTAAAGGATTCCCCCTTTTCCCCTCAGGGCAACGGTTCAAAGGTGATCCGGGAACATGGAGACGGAGATTTAACTGATGTGCCGAGCGAGGTTTAATCCTGACAGTCTCAGAAACACCCCTCACACCGAGAGTCCGTGTAGGCCGGAAAAATGTGGCGGAAACTAAAATCGTACCGAACTGCGGCAAAAACATCCAGATATTTGGCCACTTAACAGCCGACAAACAAATGTCTAAAAATGGCCAGCAGTTGTTCCTGTCACCTTTAATGTGTTTGTACGCTGGCAAAAGAGCAGAAAATGTCATTTTGGGATGAAAACCGGTTCCATTAGTGTGGCTCTTTGTCAGCTGGTTGCCGGGGTCTCTTTGATCTGCGGTTACTCTCGCTCTCTGATCTCGTTAGCCGTCTCGTTAGTCCTCTCCCCCCGTCGATGGGGACAGAAACTGACCCCGCGGTGGACGGACAGCGAACAAATGAACAAATAAACCGCAGTCCTCCTTGATCTTCTGTCACAGGTCAGGTAGAAAACTGGTGTGGACGCCTGACCGTCCACATCCTGCCCGCCACAGCGGACGCCAGGCGCCCCTGTCACCTTCTGCTCACCCCTGTGGTTATCCCCTCCCTCAGACTGGAGGCTTTTATCTGCTTTTTCCATAAGTGCTGACTAATAACTGTTGCTATTGCTGCGATAAATACTGTCAGCAGATTGTATTGGAGTTTAGGTTTTAAGAACAATATCTTATGTTTTGCTGATATTTAATTCAGCACTTATTATGTAATCTAATAAATATGAAGCTGTTAATCATACAAATATTGGTCACGAGACACAAATATATATAAAAAAAGAGTGTCTAAGACATTAAAAAACAAGCAACAATGACACACACTCTGGATTACGCATCATTGTGTCTTACCCAGGACATCGAGAACGTAGCTGTGAGAGATGGAGCCGTATTTATTCTCCACCAGGCAGGTGTAGTTTCCTCTGTCTGAAGGAACGACGCTCTCCATCACCAGGCTCCAGTGCTGGTGTCTCAGCTGGACAAAGAAACATTAATCCATCATTAGCTTGGACAGACACTTTGATGAGTCCAGAAAGTCCTCATTTTTCTGTCCACAGCCTGTTTTCAGACTCTTAGGAGTTTATGATAAAACGATGATGCAAAAACAGTGGTAGAGAAAACAAAAACTACAACCTGGAATCTCTCAAAACATCTGACTACACTGACAATCAGAGGTCGGCCGGAATATATATAATTCAACATCACACTCTGCTGCCATTCTCACCTTAATGCCACCAATGCGATGCTCTCCTCGAAATTCTCGTCCATTTTTGAGCCAGCGAATGCTCGGCATGGGGCTCCCCATGGCCGGACAACGAAACTTCACCGTGTTGCCTGCAGGAACAGCGTACAGCTTCTTCTCCATGCGCTGGGTGTGGGTCCAGTAGGGACCTGAATGGACAGAGACATTAGTCAGAATGCTCTGATGAAGCCTGGGGACTGAGTTGTAGCAACGAAGGAAACAACAAACGCACCTCTGGAGAAGTAAACCTGGTCATTTTCGATCTCAGCCGATGAGTCCTCTAAGCCGTTGTCCTCGTCATCATCCCCTGACCCCAAGGAGTCTGTACAGGTGACAAATAAAGACAATGTGAAGAGAGACAAAAACACATTTTCTGCCACTAAAAGTCAAAAAAGCACAGGAAGCAAACAGGAAGCAGTTGAATATTTTGCATTTTTGATTGAAAAATGATTCAGATAACTGTTTTATCAATAGTTTGCTAATGAATTAATCAAATATATAATCATGTCAGTTGTTATATAATGTAGCATGAATTTTGGCAGACATATTGAAAGTCCTCAGCCCTTAAAACAGTGTCAGCGTCTGTACCTGTTACAGTGATGGTGAAGTTTCTCACGGGCTCTTTGCTTCCCCGGAGAACACAAATATAAACGCCCGAGTCCTCGTATGTTACGTCTGTGATCTCCATGATGGCGCCGCGGATCTGGATCCGGGGTGTGGGCAGAACCCGGGCTCCCTCCTTGTACCAGTTCACCGCCATACCAGGCCGGGTGCTCATGTCACAGCGCAGCTTCAGCACGTTACCCGGCTCTAACAGAAGATGCTCTGTGGTGTCCTCGCTCAGGTCCTCAAGAACATCTGTTGGAACCGAACAACACAAACGCGCTCTTATTTTGACGTTCAGACTGTGTTTCAACTTTTTTCATTTACTTTCATTCTTTCATTGGCTTTCTATTTCTTCTGCTCTTTTAAATACGTCGCCACACAGACAGACAAGGCCAGTCAGCGGGTCATTTCTTCACCTCCTCTCTAAAGCGAGTAACCATCCCCTCAACTATGACCTTCAACTCCTTAACCCCATTATCTCCCATCCCCACACACACACACTCCCACACAATGAAATTACCATGGAGACCAGGAGGCCTAACCGACCCAACCCTCCTCCACACACCCCCCTCCTCTTCATCTTTTTGTTCCTCTGTGGATTATTGTGGGACTGAGAGCGATCTAGCTAACACTGCAAACTCCCTCCCTTCTGCACTCACTCACTCAAAAAAAAAAGATGAAGAAGAAGAAGAAAAGAAATGAGGAGGAAGAGAAACCGAAGCTAATGAACACGTTGCTGCGTGACAGAGGATGGAGAGTAAATCTAAGGGGCGGTGAAGGTTCACTGGAGATCTAAGTGAGCGAAGGGAGGAGAGAAGTCTGTTCCAGCCTAGAGAGGAGGACACTAGAGTTTGAGCCCACACAGCTGGCCGCGATACCACCTTCAACAAGTCTGTCCTCTCTTATCAGGGTTTTACAAACTTATCTTTTTACATTACAGACACCTAAAAGGATTAAAATTAACATGCACTCAATGCTTACAGTAGGTGTTATAGATAAGCTTAGACTGTCAACATTTCACTTCACTTTTTCCAGCACGAGGAATGAAATTACCTGCGGGGATATCAGCAGCAGTCAGGTCCACCGTTCTGGAAATGATGGTACCTGTGGAAGGAAAAAGGATGAGGTTAGAAAAAGGGTGTGATACTGTGTTATAAATGAATGGTCACAGGGTTGAGAGATGTCAGATTGTAAGTGGGTCAAAAGGGGTATTATTGGGGAACTTTATATCAAGCTGTCCAACAAATAGTAAGGAATGAGTGTGTCTCACCGGGCAGGACGTCCAGCCACGCCGCCTGCATGGCCTGCACTGCCTGGCCTCCGTGGGTGCTCTCGGCCATGCAGATGTACTCGCCTGCATCCTCTGAAGTGATGTTGGACAGATGCAGGGTGTTCACCTTGGATGCGTTGCTCTGCAGGGCCTGCACAGAAGAGGGATCATTTTAACATATTTTCAATATGAGATGAATAGAATCAAAACCCAATCTGAGTAAAACATGAAAAATCAAATTGCAGTTGTTTTTTTTTGGGGGGGGGGGGGGGTGGGGATATGTCAGCTTCTCACC